GGCTTCACAGTCCCCTAACATCACTCAGCTGCCTTCCCTGTTTCTGTGTTTGGACACTTCTTTCTTCTGGAATGCTCGTCCACTTTTCCAGAGCCACACAGACTCAACTAAGAGCCCCTCACTCTTCTGAGCCCACACAGGACCTCTGTCTATGCCTGTGGCCTCCAGGGTGGGGTGTCTATAGTGATCCTTTGGGGTGCAATAGGAAGGTATTGAACTTTTGCTTATAAAATTTCAACTTTTTAAAACTACCATTTTGTATGCTTTTAAGAGGACTTATTATATTTGTTTAGAAGTATATGATCATTTTTAAACAGTTCTGAGACACACATTGTTTCATATTTTAACACCTCTCATATTGGGATGCATTTTACAATCAAAACCTACAGAAAGCCTATGTCACAATTTGATTGGCAGGAATATTTTTCTTTCTTCATGTTATATAATGTGATGACGTAATGCACAATTGATAGCGTCTGGAATTCTATGAAATATTTATTGAAAGTGCTTGCACAACATGTTTTTAACTAATGGGGTTGCAAAATGAACAGTTTGGAGTCCATCCAGTCTACACAACTCACTTGTTTCTTATCACACACAGCCTTGAATTAATGAACTCCGCGTGTATGTGCCTGTGTAGTTGTGCATGTGATATTATAAACTAGGACAGACCATGCATTATTCTTCTGTCTAGTCCTTAGAGCACCTTCTATAGTCTAGGCCAGCAGTTCTCGACACTATCAGAGCTAACACCCTTTTTATGAATAATATTTTATAATATCCTTTTTACTATCTTAAAATGAAATTCACTTGCAAGTTTTTGTAAAATCCTATATTGTATTGGTTGGGTTTCCCTTATTGCTGAAACAAATGGACTCTAGTATATTTAATAGCTTAAATGCAATAAAAGTTTGTTTCTAGCTCCCATGATAGGGCTGGGCCAGTAAGTAATGGGCAGGGAGCTGAAATAGATGTGGAGGCGTGCACCTGGGAGGTTTCGGTGGGCCAGGTCTGGAAGTGGCATATGCCCCACTTCTGCTCAGGGCCATTGGCTAGGACTCAAGCACATGACCATACCTGCCTGCAAGGGTGGATGGGAAATAGAGTCTACTTGGGGAACCAGGAGAGAGAGTGGAATGGATTTTGGTGAGCATCTAGCAGTTTCTGCCACAAATATAATGCCTTGTTATAAAAAAGAAATTTAAAAAATATATAATAAAATAAAATGATTTTCATTATGTAAATCCTTAGGATAGCCACACTAGAAGACACGAGTCAAATGCTTTCACTCCTAAGGAGAACGATGTGAATGTGAAGGCGTTAAATGCAGTTGAAGAGTGGTGTGTCATATTAGTGACTAACGTATCTTTCCCTATTTTGCCATTACTATCCAACAGTGGTATTTTTTTTTTTACCAGTAATGAGACTTCCTGAAATAGTGAACAACCCTTAGTAAAATTCTGAACAGAGTGCAATCTTCCTTTAATTTATACAGCTGACACATTACGGGAAAATCCAATGCATATTAGAACTCTGCAACAAATGCTTTGTGTTTATATGTAAAATCAAATTGGGCCCTAGGCTCAGATAATTATAAAGATTTTTTTTTTTTTGCCTCCAGGAATATCAAATGGGGCACTAGTAGGCCCTGACGAATGCGGGACAATCCTTCATTGTGCAGAACTTTTCTGGATATTGTGGGATGTCTAGCGACCCTGGCACCCTCTTGCTAAATGCCAGTAGTACCCTCCCCACTACACAAATCACTGTGACAACCACATACACCTCCACGGTTTTCCAAAGCATCCCCGTGGAGTCATACTGCTTCCACTGAGAACCACTGGTCTTACTCAATAAATGCTTGTCCAATTCACTCTTTGGTACTTGAAGAAATGGATAAACAAACTGATTCACTAATCCTGGCATATTGCTATAAAGCCAAGAATATGACTATATTTGGAATGCCAGCCTTATGCTATGTTAGGAGATGTTATATAACTATCTCATTTAATCCTGATAATGATCTTGTCAGATAGATACTAATATCTTTAATCTTTATCATGAACAAAGTGGGGGTCTTGGAGGTGAAGTAGCATGTCTGTAATTACAAGTATGTGGGAAGCTGGGATTGAAATCTGGGCCTGACTCCAGAATCCAGGATAAATTTCCATTATTATTAGGATGACCGTATGTCTCCATTTAAGTTGACTGTCCTGGTGTAATGATTAGCATTCACTTTCACTCTCCAAAGGATCGCAGTCTGGACAATAAATTACATGGCCACTGTAAATATTATATGCTGCTATTGTCATCATTATTTATTGCACAGGAAGATCAAGAGAGAGGGAAAAAACCCAATATTATTCTGTCTCAGACATCAGTGGATGACTGAGGAGGCAGAATGGGCTTTCTCTTCCGCATTTATCACCTATGCACTTCTTAAATCATCCATGGAGATTTGTATCTGTTTATCTTCTGCAAAAAGCAATTTTTAAACAGTAGGAAAATAAACACTTTGTAGATATTCAATCTTTTACTATCAAATGGGGTGTTGTCTTTTACCTGCAGATAAGATATGCTGTCCCCTGTGAAAGACTTATTACTCTTAAATCTGAGAAACAGTTGAAGATACCATAGGAGCTGAGCTGAGACATGCTGAGCAAGATGATGCATTGATGCTTGCTTGCTTTTGATGAGCTGGTCACATTCTTGAGTTAGGAAGAAACCCTCCCTTTAGATATTTAAGTTGGAAGCCTATCTCTATCAGCTCCTGGTTCTGACAGTTTTCAAACAATTGCTTTAAACAAGTCACAGTTTTAGACATGTCATGTGCACACGTTCAGTCTCAGAGTTATGGGAAAGTATCAGAAAAAAAACCACAGGATAATTTCAACACCCAAATGACCCAAATGCTGTCTCCACCACCTCTCCCATCTCATTCCTGTCAATGATTCTCTCCCTCCACTCTGCCCTGCCATCCCCCCAACCTTTTGTTTCAGCTCCTTGTGGCATTTGGTGTTTCCCTCCCAATCTGCAGCCAGTGTCAGTGCTGGGGAGGAAAAGTGGGTCATATTACGCTCTGTCTCCTGGTGCTGAGCACTCCTATGTGGGTTCAAACACAGAACCAACTGGAACCTACCAGGCCTTCCCTAGCTGCCACTAGCCACTGCCCTAGTGGGTGGTCTGAGGGATTTCTTGAAAAGGAAGTAGCCTAGTGGTTGGCTGCCCCTTCTTGGTTTCCCACCAAGAGCTCCAATAGAGAGAGTCCTGGTGGAGATGCTGAGCTTGACTCCCTTGGGGGCCTATTGGAAGACATGTCTTAGACCCAGGTGGGGCAGGGCAGAGAGGGAACTTTGGGGCTGTTCTTGGGCTATCCATGCACCATTGCCAAGCTTAGGGATGATGCTTAACAAAGAACACAGCATTCCACAGAAGGCTCATAATAAAATTATCATATTTAAAAAATGATAATGGTTAGGCCGGGCATGGTGGCTTACCCCTGCAATCTCAGCACTTTGGGAGGCTGAGGCAAGTGGATTGCCTGAGCTCAGGAGTTCAAGACCAGCCTGGGCCACACGGTGAAAACTTGTCTCTACTAAAATGTTAAAAATTAGCCAGGCACAGTGGCATGCGCCGATAGTCCCAGCTATTCAGGAGGCTGAGGCAGGGAATTGGTAGAACCCAGCATGTGGAGGTTGCAGTAGCAACAGAATGAGACTCAGTCTCAAAAAAAAAAAAAAAATTGAACTGGGCTTAAGTAATACCATCCTGTTGTAGTTGTTTCCTTCAGCTTCAGTTGTATTTCAGAAGAAAAGAAATTGCATCAGAAACTGACACAAATTATTAAAATGTTCCCCTCTTCAAGTCTCTGTAGCAGAGTAGAAGGCATGGAGAGTGTCAAAAGACATCTCAAACCTGAAAGGGTAAGTGTGAAATAATCCCTCTAAGTGTGGGTATTGACTGCTTTTATTGTATAATGACAGATTGTTCTGCTGAGACCATAGGCAATGCACTCCATGAATGCTGTCTTTCCTCCCTCCCACATCCATGGCAAACACTGTTAATTGATCACCTGCTCTTTCTGGCTAATTCTCAATAGAGTACTTCAGGGAGAAACTGATGAAAGTTGGCAAAGGAGATGAAAGCTGTTTTCCTTTCTGAGCTAAAGTAAGCCCATGATGAGACAGATATTTCCAGAATTCATCACCCAAGGAAGTTATAGTACTTGATACAGGAATTTGGAATCTTAAAGAATAGACCTTAGACCACCATGAGAAGGCTGTCCTAATTCTCTCTCACCCCATCAGTCTGTCTTGAGAAGTCTAGCTATGCTGGAATACTACCAGCTGGGAAGGGACTGACGTGGAGATATACCAAGAGCCAGGCAGGGAGGCTCTGGAGAGGAACGCAAGCTCAAGATGAGTACTTTACATTTTAGAAGCCAGATTACTTACAAGTAGCTCTTTAGGTCTGCTTTCTCTGCTCCTATCCTGGAGCCTTAAGCAAAGTTGATCTATTCATTCATTCAACAAACAATTATTGGGCATCTATCCTGTGGCAGTCACTGAGCTATGATCTGGAATATGAGGATGAATGACACAGATACAAACTGAGGATGACAAACCAATAACAGCTATTTTTGATATTGGTGGTAAGGGCTTTGAGTGGCAAAATGTGGACAGAAATGCTGGGGAGACACAGCAGGGGAGCCCAGTGTTCTAGTTAAGAGGTATCTGTTCTCCAACATGATTTCACTGGGTGGGCTGGACACCGAGAGAAGAATTATGGGCAGGGCTTGGGCAGGAAGATTAAAGAGATAGCTATTCCCCCAAGAGTCAGAGCCATGAAATTCAGGCACCTTATTCACATATAAGATCTTTTCTTCCACTGCCAACCTTGGAGTACCAGGTTTTGATTTTTTCATGGGGGTTATGGAAGCTAAAACCTTAGTAAAGAGCAATCTGTGATCTGCCATTGTGGTTTTCTATTCCCTTCCACAGGTGATTCCTATAAGTCTCCATTCTGAAGCTCTCTTGTCCTTTGACCAAGCATCCAGCACATCCTCACAACACCCATAGCTACCTTGAAGACTCTCTTCAAAGCAATTCTTACTGTTGATTCCACCACCATTGTTCCTGACACATGAAGCAGGAAGACCCAAGGCCAGAGGTCATGGCGGAGAGGTGAGCAGATAGTCCTCAAAGGCAGATAGGGCTGGGATTGGAGAGGAATTCCCTAGTAGCTGTTATAAATGGAGACAAGACAGGTGTGAACAAACAACCAAGGACTGGAAGAAAGAGGAGGGAGGAGTCAGGTAGAGATAGTACTGGGAGTGGATGCCTGGGCTGCCTAGTGACATAAAGGGACCTAAAGAGGGCTTAGGGAGCAGGTCCGAGAGGGAGAGAATGAAGAAGGTAAGGAATTCAGTGGGGCTGGGGGTGGTGATAGACTAGATTCAGGGAACCTGTGGGCTGGGTGTTGGTTTGTGTTGTTGAAATTACTTCCTCAAGATTTCACATCTAACCAAATCTCAACAATCATTTACTAAATATTGTTCTGTCCCAGGATGGGCAGATTGGAGTGTTATGCCTGCTTCTCCCCATCCCCCACCAAAGAAATAACAAAGGCAGTTCAATTCCTGACCCCAAGGCTGTCACAATCCAGACTAAGAAGTGCCCTGAGAGCCTGGCGGGATCATCTTGGTTCACAGACTCTGTATCCAAGGGGTCTGAGTGGCCAAGGAACACCCAGAACTCCTGCCTCCTATAAGTCCAAGGCTGAGCATAGCAAAGTATGGGGAGGGAAGGGTCTTCTAATACTGAAGCAAGTAGGAGCAGACTTTTCAGTAAGAAGAAAAGTTCCAGAAATTCATATTAGATTACAAAGTATAAAGCAATAAACTAGCTGAAACAATAAGATTCAAATTAGTACAATTCAGCAAGTACATATTAGTGCTCCTGTGTGCCCATCCTGGGCTAGTCTACTTGAGGAAATGGACACAGGAGAAACGAACAGGGTTTAAAGGGGAGGTATTTCTTCAGGCACTAAGCTCTGCAGATGGCTGCCTTTCAACTGGGGACCCCATGACAATTTACACAAGGTCTCTCCCACGACCTCTCAAAGCATTCTTTTAGGACCCCAGTCCCTGCCCCCAAGCAGCCAGGAGTCTGGTTCACTGGTATCAGATCAACCAGTCCCTTCCTGAAACTTTTGTAGAGAAATGGAAGTGATTTAAACATGGAATTTCAGCCAGGTGGAGTGGCTCATGCCTATAATCCTAGTACTTTGAAAGACTGAGGTGGGCAGATTGCCTGGGCTCAGGAGTTTGATACCAGCCTTGGCAACATGGTGAAACCCTGTCTCTACTAAAAATACACACACCAAAAAAAAAAAAAATTAGCCAAGCATGGTGGCGCGTGCCTGTAATCCCAGCTACTTGGGTGGCTGAGGTTCAGGAACCACTTGAACCTGGGAGGCAGAGGTTGCAGTGAGCCCAGATCATGCCACTGCATTCCAGCCTGGGCAATAGAGCGAGACTCTGTCTCCAAAAAACAAAACAAACAAATAAAACAGGAAATTTCAAATACAAAAGCAAGAACAAAGATGGAGAATGGGTTGGAGGTGGAAAAAGCACAGAAGTAAGAGGTAGGGCCAGTAAGGAGAGTACGAATACTTAGGCTCTGGGAGTTGAGGCAGCAAGTAGAGCCAAGGGGCAGGGACAAAGAAGACACAGTCTCTACTGACTGGATGTAGAAGAAACGAAACGGGAGAGTCTAAGATGACCTTCAGTAGAAGTGGTGGAAGGGTGAATGAGTAACGTCAGTAGCTCAGAGGAGAAGCATTTGAAGAAAGAAGATTGTGAGTGCAATAATTCAATACTCTTTTCTTTCCCGAACTCTTCCTTTGGAATCCCTGTTAGTTCCCCTCTCCAGGCTTTGTTCTCCACTCCACTTCTCGCACTGGGTTTCTAAAAGGAATCTTTACTGGATCATTCTCTGCATCTAGCCTCACAGTGGTTGCCATCACCTTAAGGTGAAAGGCCAAGGTCCAGAGCATGGCATAAAAGCTCTCGGAACTCTGCCTTACCTCTATCTTAGCCTCATCTCCTGCCATTCTCCTTCTTGGGCTCAACACTCCTGCCATCCTGAAATATTTGCATTGAAAAAGACAGCCAGTTTCATGTGTCAGTGCTTTTGTACTTGTTAACCTCACCCTGACATTTATTTCCTACATTTCCTGGTTGAACTTCTCACTATCCTGTGTCAGGTGGCTAAAAACCCAGCAAAGCATTCCCTGGTGGTCCTTTCCACTCTCCTAAGGAACATTTGTTCCAGGAAGGCAAGTCTGATGCAATATGTGAAAATTATTCAGTGTAACCCACTATATTAATGGCTAACGAAGAAAAATCACATGGTCTTATCAACTGATACAGAAAAAGCATTTAAAAAATATAACATGTATTCATGATAAAAACTCTTAGAAAAAATGGATTAGAGGGGAACCTCCTCAACTTGATAAAGAGTATCTACCAAAAGGCTCTAGCTAATACTAATTTTAATGGTGAAGGATGGAATGCTTTCTCCATAAGATCAAGAACAAGGTAACGATATCTACTCTCACCACTCTTATTCAACATAATACAGGTGGTTCTGGCCAATTTCAAAAGGCATGAAAAGAAAAAAAAGTATGCAGATGAGAGAGGAAGAAATAAAACTATCCCTATTTGCAGATGAAATGATTGTCTAGGTAGAAAATTCTATTGAAATCTAAAAAACAGCCTACTAGAACTAATAAGTGACTTCTCCAAGGTTGTAAGATATAATACAAACATATAAAAGCAAATTTTATTTTAGCATTCATAACAGATGGAAGTTATAGTACTTGATACAGGAATTTGGAATCTTAGAGAATGGACCTTAGATCACCATGAGAGGATCTCCTAATTCTCTCTCATCCCTTCAGTCTGTCTTGAGAAGTCTAGCTATGCTGAAATACTACCAGCTGGAAAGGTAGTATTTGGTGTCCATAACAGATAGACATCAAAATAAAAAACAAATGCCATTCACAGTTGCTAAAACAAACAAGTATGCCTCTAACAAAACTTGTACAGGACTTCAACTGTACATGGTTTGTAGCAGAAAACTACAAAACACTGATGAATAAACCAAAGAAGATCTAAATAAGTGGAAAGATATAGTGTGTTTATGGATTAGAAGATTCAATTTAATAAAGAAGTCAATTCTCTGCACATTTACATATAAGTTTAATGTAATTCCTATTAGAACCCCAGCAAGATTGTTGTAAAGACACGATTATTCTAAAATTTATATGAAAACATAAAGGAACCAGAATAGCTAAAATAACTTTGTAAAAGAATAATAAAGTGGGAGGAATCAATCTACCTGATTTCAAGACTTATAGAGCTGTGATATTTATAGAGTGAAAGACACATAGATCAATGAAACAAATAGAGAACCTAGAAACAGACCCACAGAAATATGCCCAACTGATTTTTGACAAAAGGTGTAAAAGCAATTCAGTGGAGGAAGGATAGCCTTTTCAATGAAGTTCAACTTAAATTTCACATCTTTAAAGAATTAACTCAAAAATTAATCACATGCTTCAATGTAAAACTATAACACTTTAAGAAAACAAAACACAGGAGAAAATCATGGGTATCTAGGACTAGGCAAAAAGTTCTTAGATTTGCCGTCAAAAGCCTGACCCATAAAAGAAAATATTAATGATTGGATTTCATCAAAATTTAATTTTTTTGCTGTGTAAAATAACCCATTAAGAGAGTGAAAAGACAAGCTTCAAACAGCAAGAAAACATTTATGAACCACATGCCTGACAAAGAGCTAGTAGCTAGATACAGAAATATCTCTCAAAACTCAACACTAAAACGTAAAACAAAAGTAATACAATCAGAAACTGTGAAAAAGACATGAAGAAACACTTCACCAAAGAGGATATATAGACGGCAAATATGCATTTGAAAATATGTTTATCATCATCAGCCATTAAGGAAATACGAATTAAAACCACAATGAAATATCACTACACAAGAGAATGGCTAAAATAAGAAATAGTGACACCACCAAATGCTGGTGTGGATGTGAAGAAACTGTATCTCTCCTATAACTGTATCTTTCTGTATTTCTCCAATATTTTTGTGTAAACATGTTTCCATTTCTCTGGATAAATACTCCTAGATATTTATCACACAAGTGTTCATAGCTGTTTTTCTGGTAGTGGCCAAAAACTGTAAACAACCCAGATGTCCTTCAACAGGTGATAGCTAAACACACTATGGTACATCCATGTGGTAAAAAACATCAGCAATAAAAAGGAATGAACTTTCGATGCACACAACAAATTGGATGAAGCTTCAGGAAATTATGCAGAGTGAAAAAAGCCAATTCCAAAGTGTTACATACTTGATTACAGCATTTATATAACATTCTTGAAATGACAAAATTATAGACGTGGAGAATGGAGGAGGGGTTGCCAGGGGCTGAGATGGGTGTTGGAAGGAGCAAATGCAGTCAATAAGGTTGGGTGGCTATAAAAGGATAATAGAAAGGATATTTGTGGTGATGATATTGTTCTGTATCTTGTCAATATCCTGGTCTGCCATCATATTGTAGTTTTTCAAGATGTTGCCCTTGGTTGAAAATGGGTAAAGTGTACACTGGATTTCTCTGTATTGTTTCTTACAACTTCACGTGCATCTACAGTGATCTCAAAATTAAAAGTTGAATTTAAAAAATAAAGCACAAACCACACTCATGTATTATCTCATAGTCAGAGGCCCAGGCCCAGCATTACTGGTTTCTCTGCTCAGGTGGCACCTGCCTGAAACCAAAGCGTCTGCCATGGTTGCTGTCTCATCTGAGGTTTGAGGTCCACTTTCATGCTTAATCAGGCTGTTGGTGGAATTCAGTTCCTTGTGGCTGTAGGACTGAATTCCCCATTTTCTCATTGTCAACCACAGACCGTTCCAGAGACTGACAGCTGCTCCTTGCCACATGGCTCTTCAATATCCCTCTCATGCTTCAAGTCTCACTTTCTAGGATGGCCCAGGCCCATTTATGAGGTTGTCTGATTAGGTAAGTCCCACTGGGATAATCTCCCTTTTGATTAACAAGTCAACAAAGTAGTAACATCACCATGGGCACTGATATTCCATCATATTCACAGGTAAGGGAATTATGTAAGGTGTGTACACCAACCAGAAGGTGAGAAATTTTGAGACTGCCTTAGAATTCTGCCTCCCACAGACCATCTTAGCCCCAGCATTCTCTGTGGGATAGGCAGAAGACTGCTGGGATGGCATCACAGTGCAGTTCTCTCTGCTCATTCCTAGTGTTACAAACAATCAATGGGCTCACTTGCCAAGTGAGCCAATTTTATGTGCCAGAATAAAAGCCAATACCGTGCACTGATTTTGAGAAAAGAAAGGCTTTATTTAGAGCCAATTGTCAAGGAGACAGGAGGAAACACTCAAATCTGTCTTCCCGAGCTGGGGACTGGATCGGGCTTCATAAACATAGGGTAATGAGCCATGATCTGATTGAGTCTTTCAATGAAGTGCTGCCAGGGAGGCATGATCTGATTGGATCCTGCCACAGTGTGACACCAGGGCTCCATCTGATTGGATTCTGTATCCTGCCATTCAGGGTCTGCTTCTTAATTTGGTCCCTGCTCCCTCTCTCAGTTTGAGACCTTACACTCCACACATGGTTGAATCCTTGGTTAGTCTGGGCATGCTCAGGTTATGTGACCTTCAATCTGAGGGTTTCTAGTAACTGAAAAGAACTCACAACTTTGTTACATGGAAAGGAAAGCGGATTGATCTGGTGCAGTTACACTATTTCCTTTGTTCCCTACCGTTGTTGATCCCTAGAGAAATTGCCCATAAACTTTCTGCACATAAATCTTGGCCTGTGAGTCTGTTCCCCAAGGAACTAGGAGTGGTACTGTTGTACCACTGAGCTAGAGGGCATGGAAGATCGACCAGTAACATTTTGTTTATCTTTATTTATTTATTTTTTGAGACAGAGTTTTGTTCTTATTGCCCAGGCTGGAGAGCAATGGTGCCATCTCAGCTTCCTTCAACCTCCGCCTCCCAGGTTCAAGTGATTCTCCTGGCTCAGCCTCCCGAGTAGCTGGGATTACAGTCATCCACCACTACGCCCAGCTAATTTTTGTATATTTAGTAGAGATGGGGTTTCACCATGTTGGCCAGGCTGGTCTTGAACTCCTGACCTCAGGTGATCCACTGGCCTTGGCTTCCCAAAGTGCTGGGATTACAGGCGTGAGCCACTGTGCCTGGCCCAACTAGTGACATTTTAAAAATCTGGGCACAAGTTATACTTGGGACCCTACTTCAAAAGAAGTTGATAGAACTGTGTGGGGTAATCCCTAGGGAATCAAGTCAGGAGTACTATGTGAATGATCATTGGCAACCAGATCACTCAATGGTCTTCCTCTGAATTCTGTTTACTGTAAAACTCGATGTCATCACCATGACATCATAGTTACCTTACATTGAAAGCTCACTGTGTTCCAGAGAGTGTGCAAATCATCTTTTCTACCATCTGATTAGTTATTAGAGCAGAGTAGTTAAGGGTACCAGGAGTTAGACTACCTCAGGTTGAATACGAGCTTCTCCATTTAATAGCAATATGGCTTCAATGGGTAAATTTTCTGAGCCTCAGCTTCCTCATCTATAAAATAGGGATGGTATTTGTTTGATAAAATAACCCTTCATATATAACTCTTAATATAGTGCTTGGTAGAGAGCAAGCATTCCATAAATGTTAGCAATTTTTTAGTCTCATGTAATTCTTATGACAGCCCTGCAAGAGGATTTATAGCTGAGTAAGCTGAGGTTCAGAGAGGTTAAGCAACTTCCCAGAATCTAACAAACAACTAAAGAGTGCCAGAGGTAAGATTTCAATCAAGTTCCTTCTGAGCATGAAGTGTTAGCCCTTAACCATTATTCTGTCTTGTTTCACCATCGTGGGGATCCACAGGGGTGACAACACTGCCTTAAGCAGAACACAGAAAGAAAAACTAAAAACATACACACACAGATTCAGAAACTCTGAAAAAGGAATGCTCATGAGAGGGATTCCTACTGTTTCACCTGCAGGATGCCAAGCTTTGGAGCCCAAACCTGTGTGCTGGTTTGTGGCTTCCTAAGTGGGGTAGTGGAAGTCGAAGTCTTTCTTCTTAAAAAAGATAAGCTCGGCAATAGCCCCTCAGGAAAATGTGATTACAGCTCCACAATTCCCCATCCAGAAGTTCTGAAATTCAGACAGCTCTGAAACCAAAAGTTTTTTCATAATTCATTTGGTGGCAAAACCCGACTTGACCTGAATTAATGTAAGTTCATCATCGTCTCTTTGCTAAAAGAGCAGAAGAGAAACAGGTATTACGCTCTTCCAGTTCCTTTCCTGAAACCCCTGAAAACAGCAATTACTTTCGTTCACAGTATTTTCAACATAATGCAAAAGCACCGACTTTATGTATTCTGAATGCATGAATTCCACATTGTCTTCTCTTCCTTCTTCACTATTTAAGTGAAATAAAATACTCAATGAGATATAGGCCTGGTCATATTTAAAATTATAAGTTCAGAGTTGCAAAGGAAGAGTACCTCTGAATAACTGACCTGTCTCTCAGTATTTCTGAGAATCTATTCTAACATTGAAAACCCCATTCAGCCACTTTGATGTGGAGCCGAATAGGTTAGCATCATTTTACCACCATTTGTTTAGCTGTACCTTGGCAAATGTCAAGTTCAAGTCTGGATATTTGGACTGTTGGGGGCAAAATGAGGTCAGCAGCCTCCCAATGGGCTTTCTGTCTGGCTGACAGCACCTCACGGACCTTCGCTCAGCTCATAGATAAGGTCGAGGCATGACTCTTGGAGAAACATTGGATGAATAAGGCTTCTGTCTGCTTTCTTCTTTTGGGGATAAATATCAGAGATCAGCTGATGCAGAAGATCCTCACCACAACTCCAGCTCCAGAGCTTAACCTAAGAGCAAACTCAGTGAAGACTTGGAGCATTTAAAGTGAAAACAGGCCAGGCATGGTGATGCATGCCTGTACTCCCAGAGCTTTGGGAGGCCAAAGCAGGTGGATTGCTTGAGCCAGGGAGTTCAAG